CTGCTTAGTGTCTTTCCTTGTACAATATTCTCCCCAGTCCACTAAAATAACTTCTATAACAGAATAAACTTCTTAAACTGCATCAGAGTCTAAGAAACCTTCCCTAGCTTACTAATTAGACACAAAGCCCTCCTCCCATCTCCACCACATACACTCTATTTCTATTCCCCTGGGGACTGTGAGCAGGGATGCCAGGGCCACAGGAGGCTCGTGCTAAAGAGTGAGAAAGGAGGTCTGTCTGCTGCACTGGAATAGACAGAAGTGCGCTCGCCCAGAGGGGGAAACACTCTGTCCAGATTCCCTGGACCTAGGCTTGACCCCTAGTTTACACTTCTCTACATCACTGTAATCTGAGCACTTGGAAGGATGGCACAAGATGGTGAGCAAGAGGACAACTTAGGGTGCACATCAGGTTCAAGGCCAGTGTGAACTGCTGTATCAGACCCAGGCTCATAAACCGAGGGTTTAGCTCAACGACAGACAAGAAAAACCCACAAGCCAGGGGCTAGGTAACAGCGTGGCAGAGCCAGGGTTAAAACAAGTTACCATTCGGGGCCAGGATGTATTCAGCTCAGTGGTAGAAGACTTGCCTAGCACATAAAAGGCCTTTGGGTCAATTCCCTGCAACACACACACACACACACACACACACACACACACACACACGGGGGGGGGGGGGCGGGGGGGGGGCGGGGAGGCGGGATGGAGAGATGGCTCTGTGGTTAAGAGCACCGACTGCTCTTTCAGAGGTCCTGAGTTCAATTCCCAGCAACCACATGGTGGCTCACAACCATCTGTAATGGGATCTGATGAACTTCTTCTGGTGTGTCTAAAGACAGTGTATTCATATACATAAAATAAATCTTTGAGAGACAGAGAGAGAGAGTGAGCGAGCATCCGAGGGCAAATATATACAGAAGATCCCAGAGATGCTCACTCAAACAGCAATTAGATTAGAAGAATTACGGATGGTTTCTGTGTGCTTTGTTTTCTGAATTTTTTATTCTGAAGAAAACAGAGATGTATATCACTCTCCAGAGTCTTCTCACTGCTCCTCACTGAGCTTTGCTCTGCTTGTTTCACTAAAAGCAAACACTTCTTGAATTGCTAGGTAAATATTGACACGTTGCTAAGTGAATAGGAGGTGCATCAACCCGGCTAGCAGCCCTCCTCCAAACATCACAGGATTGTCTGTGATGTACCTTTGGGTCAATTATTTAAATCAGACTTAAAAGCTGACTCTAATGCTAAGAGGTAGAGAAACCCTCTCAACTCTACTTTGAATGTTCACCTTTCATCTGCTTCTCTCCTGTCTGGGCAAGAGGCTCTGTCTGGATTTGCATAATAGTCATAAGCAGCCACCTGAGTAGAGCTACTGGGCAATGCTGGCTGGCACTCACTATGAACCAGCTACCTGAATCTTCCAGCAGAGGCAACTGTTTGTGGAGCATGGAGGCGGCTTTCTCCTGGGAAAAACACTTCAAAGTCCCAGGAGAAGTTTTCCATCCACAATAGCCATTTCCTACCCTCCCTCAGCTTCAAACACAAGTGAAGCCATTCCGGAAATGTGGCTCAGAGAAACAGCATCCGAGGATGGTGGCTTCCACCAGACAGATTAGAAATAGACACGTAGGAACTGAAGGCCACCTGGTGGGGGAAACCCTGCTAACAAGCCTCCTGTGGGCTAGCCTCTTGCTGTTCTGCACTCTTCCCTGTATCCTGAGAACACACCTTGTCCATTTCTCTCAAGGGACAAGAAGGGTACCCACTCTCGATCTGTTAGTCTGGCTTAGTATCATAAACAGTTTCCTAATCCTTTAAAATGACAGAAAAAAATGAGTTTGGCCTCCAAGTTATTGAGAGGATCTGATGGCAGGGCATATCTGACAGGTGCTGAGTGTTGTACAGGAACAAAACTGTGTGACAACAGTTTGTTAAAACGGCATGAACACAAACCAGAGTCTAATAAGAAGGAAGACAATAAATAAAAAAAACAAACAACAACAAACAAACAACCTAATCCCTTGGTCCCAAATCATTTGTCACATGCAAGTTAGAGGGAACTTGTGTGTTCAGAATTCTTGTAAGCAAAGAAAAAGGTGTTGGAAATTGATGCTTCCTGGAGAACTTGTCTTTCATGCCTGCCTTCTCAAGCCAAGGCTAACTCCTACACAAACATCAGCCCTGCCTTTAACCTAGGTATCCTGCACCCTCCTAAAGCGGGCTGTGCTGGAAGAAAGCCTGGGTATTGGTCAGTGAATAGGGAACTCTGTACTGACGCCCCAGGCTCAGGCCGATGCCCTATACAGATGGACCAAAGCTGTTTTACCACGCCAGGAGTCAGTCACCTCAATAGCAGTCTCAAGGTCAACACCACAGCCTCATGCGGGAATATGAGCCAGGAAATGAAGAAAGCCAAGGGAGACTGAAGGACTACAAGTGTTTGGGTTAATTTTAAAAGGAAAATAAGATAAAGGGGGTAAGACCTGCCATAAGCAACTTTGTTTATGGCTTGCACAAACAGGACAGAATCAATCCTTGATAGTATCTTTCAGGAGCCCGAGCAAGGGCAAAGCTCCCATGGCTCCTCCCTCTAACCCAGCTGTTCCCACCCTGTGGTCACCCCTTTGGTAAACCTCAATCTTTAAAAGTATTAACACTACAATTTTTAACAGTAGCAAAATCACAGTTATGAAGTAAAAATGAAATAATTTTATGGTTGGGGTTACTCATGTTTGTACACATTTACAGGGTTTTAAACACTTTGGTGTTTTGGTTTTGAAAGGAAAGAGACTCCCCCTGCCCAGACTCATTTATTTGAACAGGTCTGTGCTGTTCTGAACGGGTGTGGAGCCTTTTGGACATAAGGTCTGGATGCCAGATACAGGGCCGCTGGGGTGGTTTGAGCAGTTTCTAGCTCCCTGACTGCAGACATGAGGCACCTCACACTACTGCTCCAGCCTCAACTGTTCCCACCCCCAAGACCTTCCTCACCAGGATGGACAGCACCCTCTCAACGGTGGGACCAGGTAAAACCTCCCGCCCTAAGTTTCTTCCAGTCAGGTATTGGTGACAAGAAAATTAATTAATAAATTTGCTCTTCCTTCCTTCCTTCCTCCCTTCCTTCCTTCCTTCCTTCCTTCCCTCCTTCCTTCCCTCCCTCCCTCCCTCCGTTCCTTTCTTCTCCACTCACCCCTCAAGACAGAGTTTCTCTGTGTAGCCCTGACTGTCCTGGAACTTGCTCTGGAGACCAGGCTGGCATCGGGGATCAAAGGTGTGGTCCACTACCACCCAGCATAAATTTGGTTTTCAAAAGCTCTTTACAAATGAGAAGACGGAGGCACCTAGTCTGGAAATCAGCGTAAATGTCACCAGCTAGTCTAGATTAGTGAGTTACTCGAATGAAACATAGGAGAAAGCTTCAAAGTACAAAGTGAACTGCTGGACGATGTTCCAAACACAGTCGCTGTGCAGTCCCTCTACAGAGTAGACTTTAACCGAAAATATCGTATAATGAGAACACCATATCCTTAGTGATGGTACCTTGTGTGTGGAGCCTACTGTGATAGACAGGGTAGTTTTAAACACAAATATGATGACAGTTATGCTGTACACACCTTTCCATGAGGATTAAGCAACATCCTTCTAGATCTAAAGTCACAGCATCATAGCCATGGCTATAAGACACATTATTGGACCACCCCAAACACCCAAGGGCCACGTGGAAGGTCCTCTGCCTTGGCTACTGGCCTCTGAAAGTCAACAGAAGACCAGAGTGCACAAAGCAAACACTCGACTCTCAGACCCCTCTGTTGCCCTCTCTGCTCCAGGAGATGATCATGTGCTCAAAGTCACCAGCTCCCCAAATTAGAGTGGAGCGGGAGGCTTTGGCTCTTCCCACCAAGTGTTAGAGACTTGCTAGAGACTTGCTACACACATGCTAAGGAGACACAGTTTAAGGAGGACACCTCTCTGCACAGCCATAGCCCTTGAGGCTCAGTGGTGCAAATGGAGCAAGCTAGGAGAAACACAGGGATACAGGGAGCTGATCAACTAAAAAGAGGGCGTAGAATGCGTCTGCCTGTGGCTTGGTTGAGCCCCAAAGAAGGACCCAGTTAACCTGAGTCAGTGGGAAATTTAACACTGCCTCTCTTGGAGACAGGCCGTGAGTCTCGATGGATCACGGCTTCCCTACATCGCATGCGTTCCTCCCTCAGAGGCATGCCACCTGCCTCCAAAATGCAGGTGTGGCCCACAGGGACCAGAGGGGACACCCCTTCAAGTGTGTTCTTCTGCTTAGTGCTCTAGACACCTTTTGGGGTCCAGGGGATAAAGAGGACCCCATGACAAGGCTTCTGTGGTTCTCAGTGATAACCATATCTCTGGATGAGGATGGCTGGCTTCTCTGTCTTCAGAGTGGCAAGAGTTCAAATATCCCAATTGGAGCCAATCAATTAAAGTGATCTTTTTTTTTTTCTTCCTTCCAGGAGGTACCTGAATGCAGCTACTGGTCAAACATTGGGCCAAGAACAAACCAAATTCAACCACTAGACCAAAATTTAAAAATTACAATACAAAAAAATACATACACATATCTAATTTCCTGTAAACTGTCTTAGGCTTTGAATCTACATAAAAATGTCTACTGTTTTCTGCAAAGTCCTTGTCATGGATGATGATGATGACACCATGCTGTGAAGGACAGAATGTTTCTAAGCAATGTAATTCTTTCTTCCACCATACATTATTTAAACACTAGCCGCTACCAAGACTCTTTTTAACACCAAAGAAGCCATTTCTTATCTATGCCTTACAGATAAAATATGAGATCCATTTTGTTCCTTTGTTTGCTTGCTTGCTTTGCAGTGCTGAGCCTAGAACCATGGATGCCAAGCGAGTCCTCTCCCGCTCAGCGACAGCCTTAGGCTGAGAGGGTTCTTTGAACATCACACAAAGCCATGTCAAACAGCAGGTGGGGACAGGCAGGGCAGTGGACTCACTCTTTGGTCAGAAGAGGACAGGATTTGAGCAGGAAACGTGAGAGCCCGGAGTCCTGGAAGTAGAGGTCAGGAGGGGCAGTGGGGCTCTTCAGGTTCAAACACCGCACGATGACGTAGAGAACGGCAGCTACGGCAGCCAGCTTCACCCCATCGAACACAGCGGGGAGCTCGGTGGTCTCCAGCATGGCATTCATCTTGATCTAGAAGGCAAAGGCACAGGTCTGGGTTCACAAACAAAGCCAAGGCATGGAGGGTGGAGCCCATCTCACTGCAGAGGCATGACCCCCTCTGGATATGCTTCACACCCACCCACAGGGTGCTTGCTCCACAGACCCCCCATCATTGCCGGAGCAGCAACACCCAGCCAGTACCCGTCACCAGAAAAACAGTACTAAAGTTCTGACTAAGGAGGGTACTGTGTTCTTCCTGTAATCTCATAAGCAGTTCAGAACAAACTGGAAAATATACAGTTATAGAGTCTTTTTGAGAGTGGGGAAAAGCAAAGTGAGTTAGGAAGGCCGAGGGTAGTGATCTCATGTTTCTGAACAAGCCACTTAAATCCCTGTAGACTTTAACAGCACCTGGAGCACCAGGTGTGTTAAGTGTTGTTTCCAGCCTTGAACAGCATTGTGGGACCGTGGGGGCTACCAGGGAAAGCTGTACTGCATGCTGGGCCCATGGCTCTATTTTTAGAGCAGGCCAAGAGAAAGCTGCCTTGGCCACACTCATCCATTTGCTCCATGGAGTCCAAGCTCTGGAGTTCTATTCAGCCTTGGCATGGGTCATGGTGGTCCTGGCTCCTGAGGTTTTCAGGGAATGTGAAGTGGAGGCAATCAACTAAAACGATCTTTTTTTCTTCCTTCCAGGAGGTATCTGAGTGCAGCTATCAGTCAAACATCAGGCCAAGGACAGACCAAATTCAACCACTAGACCAAAATTTAAAAATTACAGTACAGAAAATACATACATATATCTAATTTCCCACAAACTGTCTTAATATTTCACATTTTAAGGTAAGCATTCTCTTGTATACAAAGCAGACACACACCTCTTCAGACACATAAAACCAAACATCAACATCACCTAGTATTTTCCTTGCTGCTCAACAGAATAACAGAACATCAGCTGTGGCCTAAGAATTCGGCTAACTAGCCAGGCATGGTGATACACCTGGATCTGGAGTTCAAGGCCAGACTGGGTCATATGACACCCTGCCTCACAATGAAATGGGGGGAAGGTTAGCACAAAACTAACAAAAAAAGAAAATGCAATTCTCATAGCTCTGGTAACTATGGAAACTGCTTTCCCTGGAATGATTTCAAGTAGCCGCTGCTAAAAACAGTTATGAGAACCCTGGTAGCCAATGTTGGAGATGAACTGGGTAGAGTGAAAAAAAAAAAATCTCCAAAATGTGCATAATAGACTGAAGTCTCCTGAGACCTAAAGAAAGTCCAGAGGGGGCCTTGGAGACTCCTCTAAGGTGGCATAGACACAGGCCCAAAAATATTTTGGGAAGTCTCTAGCAAGGTCTCCAGTCTGCTGAGAAACAGATCAAAGGTCACAGACTCTCACACGGCCTTCTGTAAACTTCCCAGAGAGCTGGCAAGATGGTTCAGTCGGTAAAGGCACTTGCTGCCAAGTCTGATGTCCTGAGTTTGATCCCCAGAACCAGCATGGTGGAAGGAGAAAAATGACCAACGCCGGCAAGTTGACATCCAACTTCCACACATGCGCTGTGCCATAAGCACAGCCACACATTAAAGAAACGCTTAAAAAAAGCTTAAAAAGTGAAGGTTGCCCTCCAATACAGAGCCACATTCAAGGCCAGCTTGGAACACAGGAATCCCTGTAACGATTATAGCAATAATAACAGATTTAAAAGACAACATCGCTAATCTAATTTTGGGTTTCTTTTGGTTTTGCAGTTGTTGTTGCTGCTGCTGTTTTTGAGGCATGGTCTCTCTGTACAGCCCTGCTGTCCTGCAACTCACTTTGTAGATTAGGATGACTCAGAGATCCACCTGCCTCTGCCTTCCAAGTGTCTTAAAAGGAAAGCAGAAGTGAACAGTCTACCAGAGGTCCCACAGCGTCCATGATGAAAGGACGTGCTGGTGAAAGGGAAGTAGCCTTTGAACATTTCTCTGTCCTTGTTGGGGGAGAACAGAGGCTGGCCATGCTGGTTTTCCCGGTCGGTCTCCTTGCTGCTCAAGTCTAATGACTCACCGAAAGCTCCTTCCTTCCGAGGCATTGTCTGCTATGATACAAGGAAGGTGAAGCAAAGGCAAGACGAGTCTCGGTGGTACATACCTATGTCGCTTACTCCTCTCACGGAGAATATGGGCTTTGCTTGAAGAGGTGTACAGGTGGGCCAATTAGATCTGATCTTACATTCAAATTAACCTAAAAGCTGAAAAGAATTAGATTTAGGTGAGGTTTTAAAGGATGAGAAAGAACCCCTTCTTTTGTCGTTTGGTGACAGGGTCTCTGTAGCAGCCCTGATGGGTGTTGAACTCATGATACTCCTCTTGTCTGCACCCTCCCTAGCCCTAGCATTAGGGTATGTGCCACCATGCCAGCCAAGAACCTATTTTAATGGAAACATAAACAGTTCACCTTTCCTTCTCTCCACTTAAAGTCTTTAGGGGAAAGGCAATTTCTTTAATTAATGTGTCTGCCGTGGCCTTGGATGTTCTCACAAACTGGCTGGGGGGGGGGGGCGGGGTTGTGTGGGCCCATCAGACCCAGAGCTCTCGCTGGCGACGGAGACAGATTTCTTCTGACTACAGCAAACTCAAGCTGCTTTTGCCCTTTATCCCACAACACGATCTTCAGCAGTGCTGACAAGATAGGTGTCATCGCTGTGACCCATGACCTAACTGAGAAGGCTTTAGAGCGAGACAGCACAGAAAATGAGTCACGACCTTTCTTCCATACATAGAGCCATGGCCCAGAACACAGGAACCAAGGAAAGAAGGAGGCACAAAAACAAAGCTCCAAAGTTACAAAATTACAAGCAACTACACAAAAAGCTCTGTTCTTCACAAATATTGATTCGTTTACTCCTTCCTATACCCTGGGAGACAGGCGCCAAGACGGCGCCATTTTACAGGTGGGGAAACTGGTGCCTACAAAGATTAAGTTATTCCAAGGTCACAAGGCTGGAGGGAGAAAAGGCCAAAGCTCATGTCTGACTCCAGGGACCTTCCTAACCGCAATACAGTGTGACTTGAAAGCTAGAAAGGCACCGAGAGAAGCAAACAGAGACCTGAGAGGTATGGAGGACGAACATAAGACTCCAGAGGCTGGCCCCGGCAGATCTAGATTCAAGCTTTATTTGTTTCCGATTCATCACACTTCAATGACTTAAGTCGATGAAAGGCTGGTGAAGGAGAGGCTCAACAAACCCTCGAGGAGCTCCTGCTCGAAGCTGTGAGCTCTCCACAGTCCAGATGAGCCCCAGGGGCCAGGGTGCAGAGAGGCAGGAACTGCAGAGCAGTGTCCCCAGCCACATCACAGGCCACCTGAGCCCACCAACCCCAAAGGCTCAGCTGCACGATGAAAACAAGGCTCAGACCAGACTCAGGATCTAAGCTGCCAGCCCACGGCCTGGTGTTCCCTTTGCTAGGCTTTGGCAGTGGCGGTGAGACTGAGGTCGTCTGTCTCAGGATTCCTTTTATGTAAAAGAATAGTTCACACCATCGTTATTTAATGATGCTTTTACTATACGATTTCCAATGACACATACGGGAATACTATATACCTGCATCTCTGTGATGCTAGAAGCACCAACTCTAGGTGCAAGATACTTCAATTGCTACTTATCAGAGAGCTTTAGTATATTTTCAGAGTTCACAATGACTTTTAACTATTTTTATTGCTAGAGAGAAAGCTTTAAGAGCTGGGGATAGAACCCAATGGTAGAACACTTCTAAAAAAGTGCAAGGTATTGGGTTCAATGCTTGGTACCATAAGGAAGGGAGGGAGGGAAGAAGGGAGGGAGGAAGGGAGGAGAGAAGGAGAGGGAAGAGGATGGAAAAAGGGAAAGAAGGCAAGCAGGCTGGCTGGCTAGGCTTTAAGATAGCAACTAACAAAACATGAAGAAGTTCAAATCCGGCACAAGGAAAATAAACACACCAACAAACACAACAGCTATGTGTGTAGCTCAGCTAGATTGTCTCTAAAGAGTTTTCTGCCCACCAGAGGAGAAGGAGAAACCCAGTCAGATCAGGGGTTCACGGAGTGGAAAGAGTTAATAAATGAGCAGTCTTACCCCTCAGATGCTTGGCACACACTCAGTGGAAGGAGGGCTTTCCTGGCACAGCTATTTTACAGACTTGCAGGACTTTGCAGAGGGGATGTAGATTGACAGACTGTCCTCCTACAACTTTTTTTTTTTTTTAAATAGTAAATGCAGCAAAGAATTAATTTCATCAACCCTTGAAAAATGCCAGGGCTTTAAAACTCAATTCAGGGCAGGCAATTCCATGGATGGTTTATGACTGTGGTCTAAATTTACAGCCTTGGCCCAAGGCTTGAGTCTGAGGGTCTTGGGCATCAAGCCAGTTCTGCATGCTCCTGGGCAGTGCACCCTTAAATCCTAGCAGGCTTAAGTAGCTGACCACTTACTGGGTGCCTAGCATGACACAGAACCACATGAAGTACCATTTGCAAAGAACCCAGTGGAAAAAGAAGCTAAGGTTCTATGTACCTTAGGGTTTTGGAGATGAAAACCATTAAGCAAGAAGCCTGGAACCACTATATCCAGAACTGGGCCCAGAGTATCAAGTCCAGGGTTTTAGAAGTGTGTCTATGTATGTATAGCAAATATCTACGAGCGACCTACCTACCTACCTATCTATCAATCTATTCAGGTATTAAACTAGGAATTATCAGACAATCCCAAAACAAAGCTTGTCACATCCATTTTAACTCATCTTACATATTATTTATGGTGATTACTCTCTCTGTTTTTCTTTTCTTTTTCTTTTTTTATAAATCTGATCTGTCACTTAATAAATATTCTGAACTTTGTCTAGACATACCGAGCCTAGGATCTACCATGTCACCTTGAATGTGCCAGATTTCATCTGATCTTGGAAGCTCAGCAAGGTCAGGCCTGGTCACACTACTCAGATGGAAGACAAACCAAACTCAGTGCCTTGGAGTATCTGGAGTGCGCCCCTCTTCTGTTTTCTAGGCAGATGAAATCCAGTTGAAATAGGCCCTAAGCAGTGTTACATGGGAGAATGTCCCAGAAGGGCTGGTGGGCTGACTTTGTAAAGCAAGCAAGCCAGCCTTCCCCCACCTCCACCTGTCTCCGTCTCCTGCTTCTGAGGAGCTGGGTTTTCCATATACCTGTGTCAACCTTTCCTCCATGGGTTACCACAGTCCAGTTCTGCTATTTTATGAGTAAGTTTAGGTCCTGTAACTGATAATTATCACAGAAGAAAAAAAAGTGCAGGGAGCTATTAAATGTTCAGCATCTGGTCACAGCACTGCCGCTGGACTCTAAACCATGCTCGGCTGGTCTGTCCACCCATGCCAAAGGTCTGGGCTGTGCCTCCCACGCTTCACACTGCTCACCTGTGGCCAAGAGTATCACTTTGCCAAGGGTGGAGGCCCCTGCCTTGGCAGAAGTCCTGAGACCTGGGAACGAGAACTTCTCCTGCCTGGTCATCTTGGAAAAGTCACTTAGCTTTTCAGGGTCCTAAGGGTCTCAGTTGTAAAACAAGGGGCTCGGATTAGAAGTAGGAAACACTAAGGTCTCTTGCAGTTTGCAATGTCTGAGATTCAGGGGACACGGTTGTGGCCCTTGGTTAAAATGCACAGGGAAGGGGGTGAGGGAATCTCTCGGTGCTTTGTAACAGAAAGCAGCCCCTGCCTTCCTGCCTCAAACCACACATCACAAAATCTACAGGCCTCGAGGCCTTTGCCCATTCTTCAGATTAATTATATACTCTCAGCTGTGTCATTTATAGCAATAACTCCATCATTTTACCCCAGTGTCTCAAAATATCAACTATCACCGCCATCACTACTAAATTCTCTCCCCTTTCATCTCTGTAAACATAATCTGACACACAGAAATCATACCAAGGACACTCGGCCAAGGAGCATAAGGGCCTCATCTGATTACCTGTGTGGACTTCCTACAACAAGATTAAAACCAATCCCAGGGCATTCTCTTCCCGAGTCCTCTGCAGAGGAACCCGATTAGATTTAATACACCACTCGATAATAGACAGTTGATCACAAACTTCCCTAAAGGATTCCAAGAAGAGGGACATGCTGATACACACGCAGAGTCCCATGACTCAGGATATGGAAGCAGGATGAGGGGACTGCACCAGGCCAGCTTGGTTTGGAACGCAATGAGATGCTTCGAGCTGTGTGCTCCTGGTTTTATAGTAACCTTCTTCCAATATCTCCACCATGTCCTTCAAAGAGTCCCCTTTCGCTGAAGCTAAGACTGCCCTCTATACTTACCTCCCCTTGTAGGAAAGTCCAGGCCAAATGGACCCATAACTCTAGGCTAGCACACAGAAGGCCTCTGGCAACTGAAGTTGTTAGGGTGTCAATGAACAATACCTTGTCACAACAATATGGCCTACATCTATTCCATTCCATCCTGATGTGGCAAAAAAACCAAACCAAACCAAATCAAACCAAACCAAACTAAACCAAACCAAACCAATCAACCCGAGTGTGGGCAGCACAACTCCTCTGAAGAGAAAGTAAGCAGGAAAAGAGCCAGTTTCTGCCATTTCACTGAGAAGTCAGGGATACCATTCGCCATAGGAAGTAAGTGCTAAGTCCAGAAGAAGGTGGCCAGGAGAAAGCCATCTCTGAGATGTGTCTTTGCACCTGGAGGGACTCACTATGTGTATATGTTACTTCTCTAGTACTGTGATAAAGTGCCATGAGCAAGGGGTTTGGGTTCACTGTTCTAGAAGGCGAGTGTCCATGATGGTAGAGCAAAGGTATGTGTGTGTGTTGGGGGCGGGGGGAAGGCAGGAACAGGAAGCTAAGGACTCACATCTTGAACAGCAAGCAGGACACAGAGACAGAATGAGATTGGTTCCAGGCTTTAAAACCTCAGAGCCCACCCCTAATGACAGTTATCCTCCAGCAATGCCATACCTCCTAAACTTTCCCAAACACTGCCATTAACTGGACCAAATATTCAAACATCTGAGCCTGCAGTGTGTGTGGGGAGCACACTTCTATTTCTATTCAAACCATCACACCCCTATAGACGGGAGATGTTCAGAGGAACATCCAAGAGGTTCTGAGATTTGGCCTCATCTACTGAGAACTGGGCAACCCCTAAAAACCCGGGTTCCATTCCTGGGAGCTCTAACACCCCTAGCAGTTGTGCATCTGAGCCAGCAGCTCACAGAAGAGGGC